GATGGCAAGGAAAGGAACAGGAAGGTGAAAGAGAAAGTGAAGAATTGATCGACGAAGATGGCAAGGAAAGGAACAGGAAGGTGAAAGAGAAAGTGGAGGCAAAAAGAGAAATTTTTAAATTTTTATTGCCAAATCATTATTTTTTTGCCATGCTGTATTTTCACGTAGATTTAATATTTTGACAGATCATTATACTTCCATTAGTTAATAGTACACATCATGCGATTTTTAACGGAGGGACCAAGTCGGGGTTAAAATGGTAAACAGTAGGGACCAAGTCAGGGATTTTTTGAGTTGAGGGACTCAATCGAGAGTCAGTCCAATAGTTGAGGGACCAAAAAGGGGGTTTAACCTTAATTATTTTAAAAAATAAATAAATCCTTCATCAATTAGAGAGAGTGCCTATGTTTGAAGAATTTCTTGTGGATGAGATCATGAGATTGATTGAAGAATGTTTCCCGTAAGAGGACCAAAAAGAAAAAGGGGGCAAAGACTTGCTAACCTCCCTCATCATTGGCCATCGTGATATTAAGCCAATTAAGTACAAAAGAGTGTTGAAGAATTTTCAAAATATTTCCAAGATTTGGGTTTGAATCACGAAAAGTTGGTTTGAAGCAATTGCACAAACTAGATGTGAGAAATTGTAATTTTGATTTGAATCATATAATTATGATTCGAACCATTTACGTAAAACCAGAATCCGAAAAGTTACGATTTTGTTTCGAACCACATTTATCTAGTTCGAACCATTTACATCAGAAATCAAAGATAGAATTCTGATAAGTTCTGAAGAGAGTGGATAACTTTAGAAGGCAAGGAAACACGTGAGCTGGAATTCAAATTAAACCAAATGACTTTTGGAAGAGTTTCCAACCAATAAAAATTGAAAAGAAGTGTTTGTTCCCAACAGACATCTTGAAAAGAAGTGTCTATTCCAAGAGACATCTTGCCCTATAAATATGGAGTTATCTCTTCTTCTTTGGTAGAGTCTTTTTGAACCCAGAAATATCTAAATAAAACAGTCCCTTTTTGTATTGCGATTGCTCGAGAAATCCCTATACAAAAACTATTGTTTTGTCACTTTCCAAAGGATGGTTCAGTGGTTGATCTTGCTAGTGCAAGGGCTAGATCAACAAGGTGCTTCATTGTATTCTATGGGCATTTCAGGTTAGCCCTTTTGCATACCAGATATGGTGGGGGTGAAATTAGCCTAAAGGAAAGTAGCATTTGCAACACGCCTTGAAGCCACTAATCTAATGATCTCATTTCTAACCCCCTATTTCTCCAACAATCTTTAGGCTAAATTATTCAGTTTTTTGAGATCATGGCTTACTGGATAATTGAGAAGAAACTTGCATTACAAAATGCATGTGAAGCCAGGGAGTTTTGATGTGTGATAGTGACAAAAGAAAAAGGGATTTCTGGTGTGATTAACCCATCTACAAAAGTGGTGGTTTATTAAATTGATTATAGCAATCGTGTGGCAAAGCAATTGTGTAATCAAATTGTCAATAAGTGATGGTGGATGAATCAACCACAAGATGCAAATAAAGTTTATGAATTATAGGGTGATAATGATGCATGATATCAACGCAAAAGGAAACAAAATGCAAACAGATTGAAACTCAATACAGGAGGAATAGGTACGTAGAATAAGTTTATGCTCTTGATTGGCATGAATTTTTCATATGGTTTTGTTTTGCAAACAAATTTTGAGTGGGTTTATAAAGGAAAAAACAATGCTCATGATCTAAATACATGAGTTAGTTTTAGAAATTAATTCTTCAAGTTTGAGTCTTTAAATCCCATTTGGAGGTTAAATAAATCTCAGACTTGATAGCATGGTTCTTGGCTGTGAGAAGAAACATATTTATGGATTTGAATATGATCATGTTTTAAGATCGTGATCGTGCCTTGATTTTGAGATTACTAATGTGATAAAAATAAAGTTATGTTTTTCTTTTCATTTAGTAATGATTATTTACTGTTCTTTGATGAATACTTATGAAGTTTTATGGAGTTTAAGTAGCATATCTTACTTCTAGACTTGATCTTATTAAGGTTTGCTTAAGGCTTATTAAAGTCAATGAGATTTCCTTTACTTGGATTATGTTATAAGCATGTTTATGTATATGACAGTTTTAGTTAAAATCATTGAGTTTTGTACATGTGTTAAACATGATTACTGTTTTTAATATGAGGCTTGTGGAAATATAAGAGGCTGATGAATCTGGTCATGTTTCATTAATGAAAGGTTGCTTAAAGCATATTTTTACTTGTTACTTTTGATGCCTTTTATTTATGCTTATAAGATTATATACCAGCATATGAATATTGAAACAAGTGAGAATCAAGTCTCATGATGGTTCTTTAGCCATGTTGAAGAAAGAAATACTAAAATGAGATTTGGCAAACCTATTTAGAGATCCAATTGGTGATCTTAGTTTGAATATAAATAAAGAGGAGAGAGACCAGGTGAAAAGGCTCTCAGTTTTGATAAGTCATGAAGGATTTTGAATCCTTGTTTAAATGTTATCTCTTAATGAGATAATTTGTAGAAACTAGTGCAACCTTGTGCACTTGATTGATTTTTGGAAGCTTGGAACGATGGTCCAAAAGATAAAGAAATATGGATTTAAAGAATCCTATAAACAACAAGAGTGAATACCTCTTGGTCATGGAAAATGAATCTAATGATTTGAGTTGTTCCAGAATTTTTGGTTCAAATCACTCAAAGATGATTTGAACCAATTACGAAGGAAAGTCAAAAAGTATCAAGAAGATTTGAAACATTTTTGACTGTCCTAATGTGGCTTTCATGAAGAATGTTAATGTCATAAAATTGACAAACAATATTTAAAATGGTGGGAACAATCCCAGGAGTGAGAGGAATAAGGACTAAAAGTCCTTGACACATTGAAAAGCAAATAAAAATTAAATTTGAAAGTGGAGGAAGCAAGAATTCCACTTGTTTATGATATTACAAGATTATATGGCACTGTTTAAAAGTGACAACACTTGTTCCTAAGAAAAAGTGATAACACTTGTTCTTAGAGATGTCTACACTTTTCAAGCATTCATATTAATTTAAGACATTCTTATATGAATGTGTATGATGACTGAAAATAATAGGATGTCATCAAGTGCTTACAAAGAAGTTTATATGACAATAAACTTGTTATCATAAAATGTAGACGTGGAAATAATCAATTCTTAAATGAGGTGATCACCATAATCTTTGCAAGGTCTTGTGTGAATTAACTTCATGAATCCTTGGTTAAAGGGATTATCAAAAGGAAAATTCACAAGACAAAGAGAGGGATGGGTCTTAAGTCCATTGACAAAGTCACACATGATGAAACCTCGACTTAACGCTTGATAAAAACTTCAAGTCTTAAGTTCAATGAGTAAAGTATGTCATATGAATGTGACTGCAAGTACTCAATTTATCAATAATACCATCCCAAGTGGAAGAGTACTTGGTAACCACATAAAACAAAAAGGAGGATGAGTTTTACTCTTAATAGGTCCTATAACAGATTTCTGTTAAAGTGCTTAATGCAGTGGCACTTTTGATGGGATCTACCTATATGAGTGGAAGTGGTGCCGCTTCTAGGAGTTAGGGACTTGACTCTAACAGCACTCATGAAAAGGATACAAAACACATGGCTAGTTTTTGTGTTAGTGGATGCTGAATTCCTTCTTTGGAAAGCATGAAGTCTTGTGTGTGACATGTGCCCAATTAGTCACTTAGAATCGCTGGTTCAAAGCATTAGTCTACCATGCAATTCTGACTAATTTGCCAACACATGTTCACTAAGTGAAAGGTTCAAATTGTAAGATACCTTCATTTATGCATAAGATTTCCAAAACAATTGGTGGGCTGTTCTATTTTGAAAATGGTGGGGGAATGTTGAAGAATTTTCAAAATATTTCCAAGATTTGGATTC